AGAGATTTAGGCATATGTGAATTTAAAAGAGCGTCCTGCCCACATACATTGGAGTAAATGGATAAAAATGGTCTCATTTTACAGAAAACACTCTAAATTTTAACACACTGGTGGAATATTGCATATATTTTATTGTATTTATTCACAATGTTTTGATAAACATATAAAATCTCATATTTTTATATATTTTTTAATAATTTTTTTATTTGAAAATCTGTAATTTTGGACCTGTTTTGTCTGTCTCTTTTGAAAGTTTCTTTTGATTCCAGTAGGTGGCAGTAAACAGGGGAAAAAAGAATTTTCTTGATAACTCCTTCTAAAATAAAGTTATTGATATTTATCTGAAAGGAGTCACAAGTGTACTTTTACAGTCTCCATTTTTGATTGCTAGAAGAATTGTGCATACCTGACTTTAAAATGGTGTCCTACCCACATACATTGGAGTAAATGGATAAAGATGGTCTCATTTTACAGAAAACACTCTAAATTTTGACACAGTGGTGGAATATTGCATGTATGTTATTGAATTTATTCACAATTTTATGATAAATAAGGATAAAAAGTCAGATTTAGATTTATTTTTAAATCAAGTTTTTAGTTGAGAGTCTGTAATTTAGGATCTGTTTGGTCTATTTCCCTGTGGAAGGTTTCTTTTGAATCCTCTATGTGGCAGCGAATATATAAAAAAAGAATTATCTTTCGATCACCTTCTTAACAAAAGTTATTGAGCTTTAATTGAAGGGAGGCAATATCTTCTCTCCAAAAGTCTCCACGTTAACTCCATAAACCTAAATTATTGCACTTATTACAAAAGCAGGCTTATTATCTGTAAAATACTATTTTTACCATGTCACCCTTAACAAGAGAATAAACAGTTTATCACCTAACTTAACCCATGTCATGTAATATATTAGCAAAATGAGTGAGGTATGAGAAAGTAGCAGTTCTTGTATTTTATTATACACAAAGATAAACTAAAATGTGCAAAAACACAATATACAATAGAAGAAAGATAGACAAACAAGCCCAACTTGTAGTTTTTTTTTTATTGCAACCGTTGAAGTGTTGCAACTGTTGACGAAACAAGACATTATATTTTAGAGTGTCCATCATTGTGCCATTTTCTAAAACAGTTTCTTGATGGCACCAAGCACAATGGTACACTGCACTTCGTACAGTACATAGGAGTCTTTACTTTGAGCCCTGAAAGTTTGCACAAAGCACAAACTCTCCTCCCACTTGCGGCATCTGACCCAAAGTACTCCGGCCAACATTGCTCACCTGCTGATGTGGCAGATGTAGATGGCTCTGGGGCATGTGATGTGGATGCGGGCGTCTCTGGGGCATGCGATGTGGATGCGGATGGTTCTGGGGCATGCGATGTGGATGCGGGCGTCTCTGGGGCATGCGATGTGGATGCGGGCGTCTCTGGGGCATGCGATGTGGATGCGGGCGTCTCTGGGGCATGCGATGTGGATGCGGGCGTCTCTGGGGCATGCGATGTGGATGCGGATGGTTCTGGGGCATGCGATGTGGATGCGGGCGTCTCTGGGGCATGCGATGTGGATGCGGGCGTCTCTGGGGCATGCGATGTGGATGCGGGCGGCTCTGGGGCATGCGATGTGGATGCGGGCGGTTCTGGGGCATCTGAGGTGCTGGACTGTGTGGCCAGCTCAGACACAAGTCTCTCTCTAAACTACTTCTGGCTGAGAGGACTTTTTTGTTCTGAGATTTGCAGAGGTGCTGGTAAAGAATGAAACCGTTTACGACCACAATGTCAACTAAATGAAAAAGAAAAAGTCTTGTACCATTTCGTTGTTTTGTGCAGGACATTATAGTACCCAATGAGGGCATCTGACAGGTCCACACCTTCCATATGTTTGTTATAGTCTTTCACTGCCGCTGGAATCGGGACTCTGTGCCTTTCCCATACACCCTCGGGATTCTTGACACGCCTGAGGACCTCATCACCGTCAACAAACAGAAGCTTCCCGTCTCGGAGCCATCGGATGGTTCCCCTTTGGGCTCTGCGGCTGATGTCATTTACCTTGGTTTTGGGGAAGCCCCGCCGGTTGTTGCTTATAGTGCCACATGCTAGAGTCTTCTTTGAGAGCAAGTCCATAAAAAGGCATTGGCTTGTGTAGAAATTGTCCATAAAAAGCTGGTAGCCTTTGCCGAGAAGTGACAGATCCAGAAGCTGCATGACAGAATCATAACTGAGCCCTTTTCCAGTGGCCGGGGAAGACTTGCCTTCATAGACGAAGAAGTTCCACGTGTAACCAAAGGCAGAATCAGCCAGCACGTATAGTTTGTAGCCCCACTTGGTCGGTTTGTCTTTCATGTACTGCTTAATGCCGATTCGCGCCCTTGAAGCCACCATCCTCTCGTCCACTGCTAGCTGTCTGTCTGGATGGAAATACGTTTTGCATGCCGAGACGATGCCGTTGTACAGGGGCTTGATCTTGAAAAGTCTGTCATAGGCTTCAGTCCCCTTTTTTCTAGAGTTGTCTCGATCATCCTCAGGATTGCAAAGATGCAGGTTCCAAGAAATGGCCTGAAATCTGGACCTGGACATGACCGATTTTGGGAAGGGTAAGCGGTAAATTTCTTTACCAGACCAGTAATCAATTATGTTCTTTGCACCGAGGAGCCCCATGTAGATGACAAGTGCGATGTATGAATACAGTTCATGTGCATCCAAAGGCAACCAAAGGAAACATTTTCCAGCCTCCGACCTCATTTTTGCAAAGCTGTTGGTGTTCATCACAATGGTTTCCACCACAGAGCCTGTGAAGAAGAGCTGGAAGAGCTGCAACGGGGAATAGATCCGGTCCATTACAAGCTGCGCTCCTGGGTTTCTTTTTGAAAGGAAATTTGGTAGCGCTGGAACCTCATCCTCCACACTGCAGTCATTCCACCTTTCTGTGCCACCATCCTCTGACATTGCACTTGCTGACCTTTTCGTCCCCCGTACAGAATGAGCCCTCCCTCTGGTCTGCTTGCTGGGAGTTCCAGGTCTCTGTGGGCGCCTCACAGAATCACCAACAGAGGGTGTGGGGGTCTTGGAGGTGTGAGGTGGGCAAACAACCTCCTTACTGCTGGCGCATGGCAGATCTGGCTGCCACTCATCACCACTGTCCAGACTGCAAAACAAAACAAATTTATAAATCCACATTGTATTCAGAAATGCATGGTAATATTACACACACAAAAATAATTCACATATGCGGCTAACGAAGACAATCAAACCTAAGATTAATACGAGTATTTGCTCTTCATCGCATGTTTTGATCTGGACATTGGTGACATATTACAGTGTCATTTGGTCATGCATGCTCGAAGACATGTGAAAATGGTCTCATTTTGAAGAAAACAACCTAAGGAACGAGCTGATATAGTGTTTGAGGCTAGTAGGTCCACACGGAGGAAGTGATCCGAACAGGAATATGATTCATGTGTTTGCTTGTTCAAAAAACTCGATTCCGTTTTCGTGATTCTTTGGATAATAATGTTACTGTAAAGTGTTGGATCGGTAAAATAAACTGCACAGTGATATTCTTGAGAGTGAGAGCTTTCATTTGATGTATGAATTGTCTATTTTTGGTGAGTTTGTGTGACAATATGAAATTTAATATCATAAATATGATTTTCTCAAGGGGGGGGGGGGGTCGAATTTAGACCATATTATCTTATTCTATGTAACATAAATACAAAAGTGATGGGATTGCCATGAAAGCTGAGGTTCTAGGCTTTCAAACAATACTATACTGTATATGTCTAGTTTTGTGCTGTACAACTTAGAGATTATTTTAAATGATTATGATGATGCAATATTGGACCCACTGGTGGGTCCGGGGGTAGGGGCAGAGTTATGCAGAGCAGAGAGAACTCCGGGCAATTTTTAAGTTAATCTTGATCGTTACACCTTTGTGAGTACTGTCTATAGAAAAAAAAAACGAACCGGATCGGTGCTTGCTACACGGAGCTGTTCCCGCAAATGCCCAGAGCTCCCACTCAGCTAAAACGGCAGTTATGGGGGCATATACAAAAAGAGTGTTTTTGTACCTCTTAACAGACACAAAATGCAATTAAAATGTCTGTCCAACATGAACAGGGGCCTTACATGTGAACAAGATGCGTTTAGCAACTTAGCCATTGTTTAAATTCACCTAAATAGTGTTTTAGACGGCAAGCTGTAGTCTCGCGCTGAAGTCCCGTGGGAACTCAGTTGTAGCCGGAAAAGGTGAAGAGTGATGATCGGAGTTGCTTACAAGTGAAGAAGAAATGGTTTGTGTTTGTGCCTTTCCGAATTGTGGCAACAGAATGCGAAAATATAAGAACTTAAATTTTCATCGTCTTCCTTTCCATGACCGCGAGATTCTGCAATTGTGGCTAGTTGTACTTTAACTTGATGTACAAAACTCCCATACAAGTACTACGCGCTAAAGATTACCGCATTTGCAGCAAACACTTTGACAAGGATGACTACACAGACACAACACAGCGGGGCCGGTTGAAGAAAAAAGCCATTCCGTGGACGAAGACGGGTGCAACCACTGTGGAGGTAATGTAAACTTTATTTATCCTTCCATTTGGTCACACACGGCTTGAGGAGAGATTGTGCAGTAATGTTTTTGTCGACTTATTTGCAAAACTTTAATTATTTCACTAGCTTCTATGACTTGAATTATATTTGTGTTTTGCTAATTTCTATGAGAATACAATGCACTTGCTAGAGAGAATAAATTGTGTGGGAGTGTGCAGTACGGGGAGGGGGAGATGTGTGATGATCACACAGGCTACGACCTATCTGGGAAAATACTGTCCGAATGACCACACTAAATGATAGATATACATACAAATAGAAAATGTTACTGTGTTATGCAGTTGGATAAAGCTATTATTTTCTTTATTATTACTTCCTACTTATTCAGGAGACTGATGCTACTGGTGTGCATCTGAACGCATCACAATTAGATGGAGTGCCACAGTCATCTCTAAAGAGGAAGTGAATCCAGATCAAGTCGGTCTGGTACGTCCTCCTGCTTGACCCTACTTCTCTCTAGTCCAGAGACATAATCTGTAAGACCTCGCACAAAGTCTTCACTAACTGGGACATATATAGCACGACCTCTTTCATGGGAACAATCAGTGGTAAGTCTCGCAATGATCAAAGCTTTCCATAAATTTCCAAGCACATTTGCCATCACTAGAGTGTAATATTATACATTTCTAATATCAAGGACCAGGGTGCCATGGCATCATATTTGTCTGTCCCCAACACAGCCAGTGGAGATGAGGCACAAGTGAGTTGAATGACTTTTCTTTTGAGCCTGTACTACTGTTATTTTTTTGTGTGATAATGCTTATTGTTTACTAAATAAATAAATGTAAATGTATTTACACAACAACTACATTTTGATGCATGTTGTTGATGCAGATATACATCAACTACATACACAACTACAGGAACATGTCGGGTCCAGGTGTGTCAGGTGTAGCTGCAGCGCTCTTCACCTAGTATCTTCTGCTATACCGACACCGATCAAATCTTCAATGACTATTATTTTAATAATAGGCCTAATACAAAACTACCCTCTGCGACCGATCTATTGACAAAACAAACAAAAAAACATCTTGGATTCGGAAGACACGTCCTGGCCACCACCTTCATTCAATCGCATCTTTCCAACCGAATAACAAAACGCTCTAAAAGCACAGTAAAGCGACAACAAAGCTATGCGTTTCTAATAACCATCTCCCTCCTGCTGTCCGGAGACATCCACCAGTGCCCCGGTCCGCTCAACAACCAAGAACAAGATAGACCTCACACCACGTCCGCGCATAGCGCGAGCATCACCAGTAACAGTCAGGTACGCTCTTTACGTAATTTAAACTACATGAATGGACAACAGTCTCACCTGGGTGGTTTTTTCTCTCCGACGAGCGCCGTGGAGACAATGGTACCTGACGGGGACGTGACGGCTAGCTGGATGGAGGTCGGTACCGGGCATGGCGTCTCAACCTGTGCGGAGCCGCGTGCGCCACCTTTGCCGGGAGAGTCGTCGGTGTCGACTTGGAGTCGGGATGGCAGCGTGTTAAGCGCTCGGGAGGCATCGGATCATCGGAAACGACCACTTTTGTCAAGTACTGCAGGTGGAAGGTCACCAACTCTCACTCCAAACGAACATAATGCTACTCAAATCAATAGCGAAATAATATCCGGAAGTCAAACTTGTCAACACAGGAAATGGTTTACAAATCCAGCTGTCGTAAAAAACAGGAAGTGGAATGTTTTTCAGACTGTTAACCACTCAAAAATAATATGGGATTCCAAATTAAAACCAAGTGGATTATTTGGTGGGCACCTCAACATACGAAGCCTCTTACCTAAATTTGATCAAATTCAGTATATTTTAACAGAATCAAATTTAGACTATCTTTGCTTGTCAGAAACCTGGCTAAAGGCTAATTCACCATCAGCTGCAATCACGGTACCAGGCTACCAAACCTATAGACGCGATAGAGTGAAATCTAAAGGAGGCGGAGTTATGGTGTATATAAAGAATAGTATTCAGTGTGAGGAGATAAACTTGGCAAATTGTGACCTAGAATGTATTGGGCTGAAAATTATTTTATCATCACAAATGTATTTTAGCCTCGTTGTAATTTACCGTCCACCCAGCTCAAATATTGATTTTTATGAAAAGTTGCAAAACATGCTGGCAAATTGCAATTTTGACAAAGAGATAATAATAATGGGGGATTTCAATGTAAATTGGGATGATAGATCAGTCAGGAAAAAACTTAAACAAATAACAGATCGCTTTGATCTCACACAGGTAATTAAGGGCCCAACAAGAGTAACTCAGTTAACCAAAACCCAGATTGACCTGGTTGAATCAGGAAACCCACAATACGTTTCTAACTATAGACCAATAAGTATTTTACCTGTAATGTCTAAGATCCTTGAGAAATGGACATCTGATCATATAAAAGACCACTTAAATAACAGCTCTTTTCATCTTCACCCACTACAGTTTGGTTTCCGACCGAACTACTCAACTGAGTCAGCGAATTGCTATTTATCACTTGACAGCAATAGCATTGTAGGAGCAGTCTTTCTTGACCTTAGAAAAGCATTCGATACAGTAAACCATAGTATCCTATTGGCTAAATTATCCTCTTTTAATCTCTCAGATAAGGTATTAAAATGGATAAATTCATATCTCAGTCAACGATTACAAACTGTTCGTATTGTTAATAGTCAGTCTGAGCCCCTCCCTCTGTCGACCGGCCTGCCACAAGGCTCCATATTAGCCCGTCTTATTCTGTATGTACATTAACGATCTGCCACTGGTGTGTCCGGAGATTAACATTCAAATGTACGCGGATGACACAGTCTTGTATGTACACGGATCTTCAAAAACCGAGGTAGCGGAAAAGCTTACAAATGCGATGGTTAAAGTAACAACATGGTTGAATGAATCGTGTTTACAACTCAATGTGTTAAAAACGGTGGGTATGTTCTTCACAAAATCACATAAGGAAACCAAAGATGCAGATATCCTAGTGTCAGGTGAAAAAATAAAAATTGTCCAAGAATACAAATATCTTGGCATTTATTTAGACACCAAACTAAATTTTAGATCACATGTAAAGCAAACCTGTAAAAAAGTCAAATTTAATCTAGCAAATTTCCGATTTATTAGAAATTCAATGTCCATTCAAGCGGCCAAAACTTTTATTCACTCAATGATTCTATCTCATTTTACCTACTGTTTAACAAGCTGGTCCCAGGCTAACTCTACTACTCTGAAACCAATACAGTCTTTATACAAACAGACACTCAAAGTACTTGATAAGAAACCAAAGCATTTTCACCACTGCGCCATTTTATTAAAACACAATATTTTAAGTTGGGAAAATTTAACTAAGTTCACAAATTGCTGTCAGGTCTACAAAATCTTACATGGGATGGCCCCACCACCCCTTGGTGATTTTGTCAATCTTAGAGCAACCACACACAGAATCACCAGAGGAGTGTCAAGAGGTGACTGTATTATTCCACTTAGAAAAAGTGCTTTCAGCCAGTCCGCCTTCTCCGTTAGGGCTTCTCTGCAGTGGAACACCATCCCGTCATCAATCAGAGACATCGACACATATAGCCTTTTTCGATCACATCTGAAACGTTGGCTTATTAGTAATCAGACATGTCAACACTGAAGTTTTACTGTTGCCCGTTTGTATTTTTGTATGACTTTGCTAATGATGTTAAAACTTGTCATCTTTATATGCATCTAACAAATGTTTTAACCTGTGACACTGACAGTGCATGCTATTTGCTGCTACTACCGGTGCATATAAATATGTTGTTTTTCAAAACAAATTTTAAGTGAGATTTTACATTTTAATGATTCTCGTCTATTGCAGCTATGCTGTAGCAGACAAACACAGCTGTATTTACATGCAAATTTTTAAATGTGTATTTTCCCTAGGGTGCCTTTGTACAACTGGCAAACAGGACTACAGATGAAAATTAGCCCTTGGCTAACTCTGGCATGTTACAGGTGTACTGATGTTAATATGCATTGTCCTGGTAAATAAATAAATAAATAAAATTTAAATTTCACAAACAGGACGATAAAGAACATTCGGCAACGTTGGATATGAGCAGAAGCTTTGGGGAAATGCTTTTATGCGACACAAGTTTTTCGCCTTCTAGCGACACCCCAACATCAACCTCTGGTTCAGGTTCTGGCTCTGAAAAAGAACCGGAACACGAAAGAAAGTGGATTGTGAATGAATCCAAACTATTAGAACTGTTCAACACATGCAAGACCTGCGGCTCAGCAGTGGAAAACAAAAGGATTATAACCCATGGCAGCCAAATCAGAGTTCTTTGGACATGCTTGAATGATCACCCTGGAAGTTGGGCTTCATGTCCAGACATTAGAGGGATGGCAGAAAATAACCTGCTCATCAGCGCATCCACTTTCTTCACAGGAACCACCCATACCACCATTTCTGACTGGGCTGACCTTCTTCATACCCCAAAAACTCAATATTATTGCAATCTGTTTACCTAATACCAGTCATCCAACAAGCGTACAGAGATCAACTCGAGAAATTAAGGGAACGTCTCGTGCAACTTTGTGCCTCAGGACAGAAAGTTGAGCTCTGTGGTGATGCTAGAAGTGACAGTCCAGGTAAGCATTTTGCTGGAAATGTAAATCATAACTCCAGGAGGTATAATAGAAATGATTCTGATTATTCTGATTATACTGTATGACACATGGCAACCCTACAGCATAGTTACCAATTCATCTCTGCTTTTTTCTCACAACAGGTTTCAGTAGCAAATACTGTACATATTCATTTCAAGATGATGCCACAAAAGAGATCATTCATTTTGAATTGGTTCAGGTAAATTATCTACCATGTTTTGTAACACCAAATTATGTAAGTGTTTTCAAAAACAAATGTAGACATGCTTTGTCTGATCGGTCAATATTATTCTCTAGGTTACAGAAACAACCAGCTCGGTTGCTATGGAGGTGTTGGGATTTCAGAAGGGTCTGGATTATTTGCTTGACAGGGGAGTGGTTTATTTATTTATTTCAGGTTTATTTAACAGGGACAATGCACACTAATAATACATAATTAAATGTACAGGGTGCCAGAATTAGCCAGTAGGCTATTTTACATCTGCTGTCGGTTGTTGGTGTTGTGACCACTGACAGATCGCCATCCATCCGCAAACTCATGAAGGACAACTACACTAGCATCCAACATGAATTTTATCCCTGGCATGTGAGCAAAAGTAAGTAAATTTAGTGGAAAATACACTAAATTGTTTGTACCTCACAAGATAAGTGTGTTCTCTTTCATTTTATCACTAACTTTTTAGACGTAATTTCTGTTTTGTACAGGTGTGAAGAAGAAACTTGGGTCCCACTTTATATTAAGTGGCCCTAATACCTGTGTACTTACATGGTTACTAGATATGTACTTAGTATGTAACTACAGTGTAAATACACATTGGTACATAGTATTTACAACTGTAATATTTGTGTAACTACACATATGTAACAACCCACGGAAAGGTATGTGTAAGTACAAAAGTGTAACAGGACATTGGTAACAACACTTTTTCCACTACAGTAAGTACACATGTGTAACAGGCATTATGTAACTACATTTTGTAACAACAATATGTATTCACACAAGTTGTTCCACTTCCACACGCAGTCTTCCATACTGTAGTTACTAGTTAAGAACACACTGAAACCATGATGATTCCTATGTGTATACCATGTATTTACTATATGACCGGCAGGACTTATGTTGAATTACAGCTAAAGTTTTCCCTTGTGGTACCAGTGTACAGGTAAGTCCTCAGGAACTCTGCACTTGATACAATGTGTTAAACTGTCATAACTTACATGTATTATGCAAAACCCAAACCTCTGTGCAACTGTACTAACAGTGTACTAACATGGTAACTCCTCAGGAACTCTGCACTTGATATAATGTGTTAAACTGTCATAACTTACATGTATTATGCAAAACCCAAACCTCTGTGCAACTGTACTAACAGTGTACTAACATGGTAACTCCTCAGGAACTGTCCACTTAATATAAAGTGTAAAATGGTCATAACTTACTGTGTATTATGCAAAACCCAAACCTCTGTGCAACTGTATTAACAGTGTACTTACATGGTAACTCCTCAGGAACTGTCCACTTAATATAAAGTGTAAAATGGTCATAACTTACTGTGTATTATGCAAAACCCAAACCTCTGTGCAACTGTACTAACAGTGTACTAACATGGTAACTCCTCAGGAACTGTCCACTTAATATAAAGTGTAAAATGGTCATAACTTACTGTGTATTATGCAAAACCCAACCCTGTGCAACTGTACTAACAGTGTACTAACATGGTAACTCCTCAGGAACTGTCCACTTAATATAAAGTGTAAAATGGTCATAACTTACTGTGTATTATGCAAAACCCAAACCTCTGTGCAACTGTACTAACAGTGTACTAACATGGTAACTCCTCAGGAACTGTCCACTTAATATAAAGTGTAAAATGGTCATAACTTACTGTGTATTATGCAAAACCCAAACCTCTGTGCAACTGTACTAACAGTGTACTAACATGGTAACTCCTCAGGAACTCTGCACTTGATATAAAGTGTAAAATGGTCATAACTTACTGTGTATTATGCAAAACCCAAACCTCTGTGCAACTGTACTAACAGTGTACTAACATGGTAACTCCTCAGGAACTGTCCACTTAATATAAAGTGTAAAATGGTCATAACTTACTGTGTATTATGCAAAACCCAACCCTGTGCAACTGTACTAACAGTGTACTAACATGGTAACTCCTCAGGAACTGTCCACTTAATATAAAGTGTAAAACGGTCATAACAGAGACCATCTCAGCAAACCCAAACCTCTCATAGTTTTATTAACAATAGCATTAAAATATATTTTGAGCCACTAATCCTACTCATACCCCTAAACCTACCCATAACCATTCCTTAAAACTACGTAGGCTACACTTATGAAGAAAATAAAAACATAACAGACAGACAAGTAACGTTATACATTTCACAATAATTTGTTTATTGCGAAAATGTCAAAACCGGTACCAAAAGTCGTTCACATGATGATGCGTTGCAGCCGCAGTCCTCTCTGGCAGTATTATAATAGTTGTGTATGAGGTACAGATCAGAATATAAATTATTAATCCATGAAAATGTTAATCCGGTTTCGGTTCGCTCTGTGAAGGCGCGCGCGCTTCTCCATTTCAAATGTACAACACCGACTGAAACACGGCATGTCGCAATCTGTGACGAAGCAGGCGAGAGCCAATGAGCGTTTGATATCACGGCCGTAAAACATGTCCTAAAGCTTCTTGAAGGCGCATTTTTTGAATTTGAATTCATCACCACTCACCAGCGCGCCTGAGCGCGGGATTTGACGTTGGCGGTCGCTGCTGAGAAATGGAGATGAAGATCATAAAGGGCTGAATTTGGATCTGTTTCTTGCAAACAACGTATGGATTCTAAAGATTTGGATTACATCAGGCTAATACAATTGATGTTTTTTTTTGTGAATTTATGTTGTGTTTTATTGGAGAAAACGCTTTTTGTGTCTCACGGTAAATGAACTAAATACTACAAAATGGTTAAACGATTAAACAAGGTATTTTTAAGGTTTTAAAGTGTAGGCTATTCTTGTTTATTGTTTACAGAACACTGTAATTTACTGTAAAGGCAAATAGGTCACCACAATGTCAAATCAAAAAATCTAAATTAAAGAATAAATCTTTAAAAGTGCTAACTTATGCCGTAATATCCCAGAATCTATCAAAGCATAACTATCACATTTATATTTCAGAGTTTACTATCAACTACGTAACCTTGTGTTTTGCATTTACTGTGGTACACAACAATGACCCTAACAATTACACTTTATATTAAGTGGACAGTTCCTGAGGAGTTACCATGTTAGTACACTGTTAATGCAGTGTTGCACAGAGGTTTGGGTTTTGCATAATACACAGTAAGTTATGACCATTTTACACTTTATATTAAGTGGACAGTTCCTGAGGAGTTACCATGTTAGTACACTGTTAGTACAGTTGCACAGAGGTTTGGGTTTTGCATAATACACAGTAAGTTATGACCATTTTACACTTTATATTAAGTGGACAGTTCCTGAGGAGTTACCATGTTAGTACACTGTTAGTACAGTTGCACAGAGGTTTGGGTTTTGCATAATACACAGTAAGTTATGACCATTTTACACTTTATATTAAGTGGACAGTTCCTGAGGAGTTACCATGTAAGTACACTGTTAGTACAGTTGCACAGAGGTTTGGGTTTTGCATAATACACAGTAAGTTATGACCATTTTACACTTTATATTAAGTGGACAGTTCCTGAGGAGTTACCATGTTAGTACACTGTTAGTACAGTTGCACAGAGGTTTGGGTTTTGCATAATACACAGTAAGTTATGACCATTTTACACTTTATATTAAGTGGACAGTTCCTGAGGAGTTACCATGTATGTACACTGGTACCACAAGGGAAAACTTTAGCTGTAATTCAACATAAGCCCTGCCGGTCATATAGTAAATACATGGTATACACATAGGAATCATCATGGTTTCAGTGTGTTCTTAACTGGTAACTACAGTATGGAAGACTGCGTGTGGAAGTGGAACAACTTGTGTGAATACATATTGTTGTTACAAAATGTAGTTACATAATGCCTGTTACACATGTGTACTTACTGTAGTGGAAAAAGTGTTGTTACCAATGTCCTGTTACACTTTTGTACTTACACATACCTTTCCGTGGGTTGTTACATATGTGTAGTTACACAAATATTACAGTTGTAAATACTATGTACCAATGTGTATTTACACTGTAGTTACATACTAAGTACATATCTAGTAACCATGTAAGTACACAGGTATTAGGGCCACTTAATATAAAGTGGGACCGAAACTTGTAGTTATATCCAATAAGAAAGTCAATCACTAACCATCTGTACTGGTCATGCAGCACAAGCAAAGGTGACAAAGAGGTAAGAATATTAAATAGCACATAACATAGATACAGTATTTTTGGTATAGAATATTTACTGTTATATCAACGATAACAAAACATGTTCCTGTCGGTGTAATATCAGTGGCAGTTAATATTTATAATAGTATTTACCTGGCACATAACATAATATTTGAAGCAGGAAAGTATTTCACCAGCTATGACTTCAATCTTATTTTTATAGGAATGTGTACGAAGATGGAAGTCGCTTCTGCACCACATATGTGGCATTCACCGGTGGGAGGAGGATGGTGCTCATACATCAGTACACCTGCAATCACACAACCCTGACAGAGGATGAACAGAGGCGCAAGAGGTGGCTGAGACCAGATTCATCAGCTTTTGTGGCACTGAAGGGAGTGGTGTTGGACAAAAATCTCCTTAGAGACTTGAGGCAGATGTCACTCTTCAAGCATACTGGTATCTATTTACATTGATTCAAATATTTTTCCAGTCATGATGATGATTGTCGCAACATCTATACATTTTTTTGAGAGGAGCAGTTTTGTTTTATGACTGCCTACAACGCAATAATACCAGTTACACTGGGTCATTGAGTGTGTGATATTACATTTATACAGGATCTTTGGAGGTGTACCATCAGGTCATGCTGAAGTATGCTGAGAAGCGACTTCACTTCATTTACGACAGTATGAGGGCTCGTACCAACTTGCAATACTTGATTATAATAGTGTTGTGGCAAAAATTCATCTCAAACAAACATCACTGCGTAAGAGACACTCAGAGTCAAATTATATAAAATAGAAGTATTTATTCTTGCAAGAATAGGAGCAGTCTAATACACAGTTGTTACCCTGTGCAGAAGAGTGACACACCCCCAGACAGACTGAACTAGCTTTTATCTTAGTTTCAAGGCCTTCTTCCCCCCAGAGCCTTCCTCCCAGTAGTTTTCCATAGACGTCACTAGTTGGCCCACTAAGCTCCCCTGCACCAAATGGCCTTCTGACATCTAGG